ATTACAATCAGAAGACCCAAGACATCCGGTCCCAAATGATCTCTTTTGCTCAGCTGCCACACGAGCCTCTTCATGAGGCTTGGGAACGTTTCAAGGACCTCCAGAGGCAGTGCCCCCACCACAACCTCGCTCTAGGGCTACTAGCGAATTGCTTCTACGACTCTCTCCACCAGAACTTGCAGTACATGGTGGACAATGCAGCTGGAAGGGATATTGGGGCCAAAACAACGGAAGAGATGATTGCAATTTACACGACGATGAGTGCTAACTCGTCTCAGAAAAGTTTCAGAGGGAAGAGGTCTACAGTGAATAAGGTTGGTTCGAGCAATAATGTCATGGCCTAACAGTTAGCCAACTCACGGAGCAGATGCGGCTACCGAATGCTCGAAGTTTCTCGCTGATTCTGGCTATGGCTGTAAGTGCTTGTGGAGCATGCGGAGTACATGGACACAGTTCTGAGGTGTGCCTTATGGCTAAGCGAAGTTATGGAGGGCAAGGTGCTGAGGTAATGCAGTGCAAGGATAACAGAACTGGCCCGGGAATGACCCTATTCGAATACATATAATCCTAGGTGGAGAAACCACCCAAGCTTCTCCTGGTCTAACAACAACTCTCAGCAGCCATCTCAGCCTAACTTTGTTCCCCATCAACAGCAACACAGTGGACAAATGTTAAGGTTGCCAGCACCAGAAGCCGGACCGAGCCCGCTGTTGTAAATATTTTTACCGGGGTTAAATCGAATGATTCGACACTGGGTCGTGTCTCTCGAGGAAGGTTAGCCGGAATACTAAGCACGTTTATTCAATCACTCAAAAAGGAAAATTAAGAAAGAAAAATACCTAAACATACTAACTCAGATGATTGGATAGTTTTAGTTATCAACTACTGCAATTAATAAATAAAGTAATAAAAGTAGCAAGGCAACGAAGAACAATAAGGATTTGAGAAGCTAGGGAATCGGGGATATCCGTTTCGGTTCGAAATGCAATTAGTGGGCAAGTGATTATTCAGTTAAGTGATTTGAATAACAAACACGTTCTAGAACTCATTCTCAATAACTCTTCGTAACAAGAGAACAACCTAGAACGGCAATTACCAAGTCACTTAACTCCTAGGCAATACAGTTACGAACAAGCCTAGCTTATGCAAACCTTTTTCGACCGACTCCTCCCCTTTCGGTTCTAAGAGTCGATAAATATAAGACTAGAAGGTGGTTAACCGACTAATCAAATAGATTCACCAATATCAAACATGAATTAATCGAATTCAATTAAAATCATTGGAAGTTGAAGTGTCACCCTTCAACAATTCTCAAAACTCAAGAATGATTATAGAAAAACCCTAGTAAAGACCAATTTGCATAAGACGAACAATCATCTAATCCCACAATCGCAATCGAAATCAAAACATTAATCCCCTATCCCTAGCATACGAATTTAGCTACTCATGATCGATTCAACATCAAAATAATCAATAACCCAAGCCATCATATTCATACACAAAATGAAAAGGAGTGCTTATAATTAAAAGTGAATCCAATGTCGAAAGAAACAACGAACAACCAAATCCAATGCTACAAAATGAGTTTTTATTCTCCAAATCCAATCTAAGATGAAAGATTAAGAGAAAGATGTGTTCTAAGGGAAGGAAAAACGAAAATAACAGGTTTGGAATGAAGAAATTATGCCCTAAGCTCGATCAAATACGTCCCCCATTCAAAATCGCGAGAAAAACGCATCAGTTGAAAAACAGGCCTTAGCGCCGCTAAGGGGTTAGCGGCGCTGAGCCTTCTTAGCTGGTTTTTTCTGTCCCGCTTAGCTGCCAAAACCCCGCTAACCACAATGGCCTTAGCGGCGCTAAGGCCCTGGCAACTTTGCGCGTCGACTTTGTTTTTGCTCGTACGGGCTCGTTCGGACTCGGAATTGAGTTCCGTTTTTTCCTATGCATCGCTAACGAGCCCCTATTTCTAATGGTGTCAGCTTCCCCAAAAGATAATCGAAAACCTGTTCTCCGGAGGTCTCCAAACTACACACCAAAAACGAAAAGAGAACGGAAAAAGACCGGAAAACAAACAGAAAGCACCACAACACTCAAATGAACGCAAAACACATAATAAATGACAAAAAGATCCTAAAACCACCTAAACGACTCAATACGGGGGAAAAAGAACGGCAAAAAGACAACGAAAAACACAAAAAATGGGACAAACAACTCCCCTACACTAAAACCTTTGTTCGTCCCGAACAAAAAGAAAAGAAAAGACACGAAAACAAGCAAACGAGCATGGATAATAGTTTCAAATAAGCCATGTCTCAGATTAATTAACTTAGTCGAGGAAACTTCCAATGACCAATTATGCATACCTCAACTACACTCGAATGCAACATTTTGAAAAGACAACTCTCGAGCACGGGAATATAATATATATAAATGCCTCACTCGATTTCTTTCATGACTATGAAATGGGGCGCTCAAATTGGTCGATCATTATGCATCAACATAAGCTTGCTCATTGTCTATTCATACTCTAAACAATCAAAATAATGAATTGTAAATCAAAAGGACTTTCGGGTTGCAGTGTAGGTATCAGGGAAGGAAAAAATATAAGGAAAGAATGACTCAAATAAACAATCACATCCTCGAGCATATAAACCACTCGAACATCTCACCATCTATCAAAAATCAGCACAACATCAATCATTCTCATCAGACCTCCATGCAACAAATACATATGCTCAAGTTGAATTGCACTTCAAGTACTCGACTTTTCTTTCTTTTCTTTTTTTTTTTTACTTTTTTTTAAGGGGGTTTGCTTTTTCCTAATAAAACCGAGACGTAAGGACAACATTTTCTAGGTTTAAACATTGAAGGTCATCCAAGTTTCCTAGAGTAGTTTCCCAATACTCATTACTCGTGAAAAATTCCACAAGTAAGCGGAGTAGAATCCTTTTCGTCCGTCTTGGGAGTCCCCATTTTTTTTTTTTTTTTATTTTTTATTTTTTTTGATCAAGCACCCAAAATGCAACTCAAGCAAGTTATACCCTTCTCCAAACACATATTAAGAGCTCTGTCATCATAACAAATTCATTGTCAAATCTTCAACTAATTCAATCAAATCGGTTGCCAAGAAATACAGTTTAAGGCTCAACGGGCTACTAAGGGAAATATAATCTCAAGGGTCAATGAAAAAGGCTAAACGAGCAATGCCAAAAAATGCCTCAATCATTTTCACAAATCACTACTTCAATCAATTCATTTCAAAATAGATTCAAAGCAAGTTCTGATCAACAACGACTCCGACCAATATCTCTCAAGAAACAAAATAAGGCTCAAACCCTCACATAAGGTGAATAAATGTCCAACAAAATGCAACATCAAGTTCATCAAGGCATACTAGTCATGATCACCATCACACCTCCTCAACATCATCAACAATCCTCAACAAATCTTAAAATCACTATGATCCATACTCGTGAAACAAACAAACTGACTCAAGAAAAGACACCCAAACGAAAACAGAAAATGAAGAAAACATCCTAAAAGACCTAGACCTGATCAACCATATAAGCATACAATCATGTAAAAACTCCCCCACACTTAAGACCGAACAATGTCCCCATTGTCGATCTTCAGTGCAAGAAAAGTTACCCATATAATCAACCAACAAGAAAGAAAAACAAAGACACTAAACCAAATACGAAAATAAAGAGAAAAGGAAAAGATACAAACGTACAGGGCACAGTGACTAGACTAGTCACTGTGAATCCGGTGGTGCAGGTGGAGGGTGGAGGAAATCAGGCCCCGAACAACGGTGGGCCTCTGTCAGCTCAAAACTCTCGCCCCATAGGGATCGGGACAACTCTTTCATTCTCGGCTGGGGTGGGATCAAATGGCGGTTGGTGTGGCATCCTTTCTCAACTCGAGCTTGGTCCTGCAATGACCTCTTCGTGTATGATCTTATACACGCTTCGTCAACAATCTGCTCAATAGCTCGCATGGACATACAGTCCTCCACCAATTTCGCCTGCGGCTGAGACTGGGTCTCTCGAATAGAAATGGCAATGGACTTGCCCAACACTGTCA